TGAGTGTGTGTGTATATAGTTACCTCTTCCCTGAGTCCTTCCTTCCCATGCACTCCTGCCCCTGAGCTGTTTCCATGTAGCATATGTAAGTGTCTAAGGCACCTGACTGCTAACCAGAGGGCTGGCGGTTCAAACCCACCAGCTATTCCTCAGAAGGAAGGTTAGACCATCTACTTCCATAGTGATACCACCTCGGAAACCCAAGGAGGGGTTGCTTTGAGTTGGGTCTGACTCGACAGCACATAACAACAACAACAACTATATATATATATAGTTATAATTCAAGGCAGCATTTTCACCAGTAGATACTTACATTAGTCATAAAGGATTCACAGGAGATGAGTGACTCCCAGAACTTTATGCGGAAAGGTCAAGGATCCCACATCCTGTTCACTAAGCAGAATTGTAAAGAATAAAAGTCCATATACATATACATACACACACATATATATCCTTTTTTTCAACCTATGTAGAAATTTTCCCTCCTCTCCCATCCCTTGAAACCAACAAAGTTTTGATGTAATTTGTCTCCCTGTCCATACACAGCCCTTCTGTTCTCCCATGCTTGATCTCTCCAAGGAGTGTATCTACCTGATGTAAATGTTCAGCTCATATGCCAGTCTTTTGTTTGGCTGGAAGCCACAGGCGTGGGTTCAATTTCAGACCTGCAGGGCACCTAGGGGCCATAGTGTCAGGGGTTCCACTAGACTGTATCAGACCAGCAAACTTGCCTCCCCCACTTTTTAATTTTATTTTATGATTTTGAGTTTTGTTCAACATTGTTCTCCCACTCTATCCAAGATCTCCTACATAGACCCCCTCTGACCGGTTGACAGTGGTATCCAGACACTGTCTGTAGACTGAGGATCACATGGTGTACCAGTCCCTTGGACTCATTGTTTCCATGTGTCTTTTGTTTCCTTCATTCTTCTTTGCTCTGGATGAAGAGAGACCCATCGTTGCATCTAGATGGCTGCTTGTGAGCTTTTATGATCCCAGTCGCTCCTTGCCAAAGTAGGAGGTGGAACAATGTTTTGTATAGTATGTTATGCCAGTTGAGTTTGATGTCCCCTGTGACCATGGTTCCTGAGCCCACAGGTCCAACTACTTGCTTCCTCCAGGTAGCTGGCTGTGGCCAAGAAGTGACTACAACCTTGTCCCTTGTCAGCTCTACCATATACCTGTAAAGACTCACAGAACATACATATTCATCTGTAGAAACATTGTCTACCAACCCTATACATGGTCATTGGGCACACTCCCCTCTGCGTAGACATACCTAATAATCCTGTGCACCCATCTGTCCACCCGTATATCAATGTTTGCCTTCACTGACAGCACAGTACTGTATGTGCAAAAGGCTTCATCTTTGTTGTCTGTACTTCCCATGCACCTCTCTGTGTCTTCCTCTTCATCAGTGCCACTGTGTTGATTGCTCACATTTGGTTCATTGCCCTTCCCTTCACCCAAATCAATACTTGTCTCTACCTATTTAGCAGTGTTCCCTTCCCTTCCCCTCCCACTCCTGGTAGCCAACAAAGACAGTTTCCTTCCATATATAAACCTTTCCTTTACTTTTACAATAATAGACTAATACAGTGTTCATCCTTCTGTGACTGACTTATTTCATTCACCATGATGTCCTCCAAGTTTATCCACATTTTGTGGTGTTTTGCATTATTCTTTAGGGTTGCATAGCATTCCATTATGTGTATGTACCATAGTTTGGTTATCCATTCTTCTGTTGATGGGCACCTAGGTTGTTTTCATCTTTTTGCTATTGTAAGTAGTGCTGCGATGAACATGAGTATACATATATCTGTTGTCCTGGTGGAGCCCAATTGCTTTTGTATAACAATAATATATGTTCAAGATTCCTATTTCTTTTCTTTTTCTGTTATTTTATTCAAGGAGCTCTGGTGGTGTAGTGCCTAAGGCATTTGACTGCTAACCAGAAGGTTAGTGGTTCAAACCCACCAGCTTCTCCATGGAAGAAAGACTGGGCAATCTACTCCCATAAAGACTTACGTCTTCAGAAACCCAAAAGGGGTCACTGTGAGTCAGAATTGACTGGATGGCAGTGAGTTTGGTTTTTGGTTTGTTATTTTATTCAGTCTTTGACTTTTAGCATCATAACAGTCATCATTCTTCTTTGTGGGCGTGTTGAGTCAATCTAATTACTTGGAAATCCACTTTGTTAGCATACAAAGGAATTTCAGGATTTTTCATTTTCCAAAACACTTTCACTTCCGAGGAAAAAAAGTCACCTACTGAGTCTCTTAAAGGCAGGATCGATGTCTTCTCTTTTTAATTCACATAAAACAGTGTCAGGTACATAGTATTTGTTCAGTCTGTATTTTTGTTAAATTTAACTGAATGAAAACAAATTGTTTCAAACATGTATTACTTTTCAAAGTGTAAAGTTATAAAAGTGGTTTCCTTCTTTAAAAATAATTTATAGACCAATTTGTTTCACCTATTCAGCCTATCCTATAAACCCACTCACGTCAAGTGGATTCCACTAATCACAACCCCATTGGGTTTACAGAAGTAGATTGCACCATCTTCCTTCTGTGGAATGGCTGGTGGGTTTGAACTACCAAACTTCTGGTTAGCAGTCAAATGCCTTAGACACTGTACCATCAGAAATCCTTATCCTATCCTGTAGCATTCATATTTTAGTGCTACAAGACATTCATCAATCAAAACTTATAGGATAGTTATGTTTTTAATGTTGACCCCATAGGAAATATAGTCATTGTTTCTCAAAAGATTGATAATAAAGTACCAGCTTGATACCATGGACCAAGGGTTCCTAAAACTATGCCTGGGTTTGAGATTTTTCTAGGCAGACTCACAGTCCTCAGGACTCAGCATATAGTTGTACTTATGGTTATGATTTGTTACAATGAAAGGATATAGAACAAAATCAACAAAGGGAAAAGGTGCATGGGCAAAAAGCCGAAAAGAAACCAGGCACAAGCTTCTGTGTATCCTCTCCCAGTGGAGTGGATGCAGTTAATTCTCCCATAAAGGAGTTGTGACAACACTTATGAAATGCTGTCAACCAGGGAAGCTCCTTAGACACTCAGTGCTTAAGGTTTTTATTGGGGTCTTATTAAGTAGGCAGCCCCTGTTTGAAATGTATTCAGAGTCCAGACTCCCAGAAGAGAAGCAGATGCTCAGCATAAACCATATTTTTGTACAAGACGTTTAGGCACAGTGAGCCACTCTTAGCAGTTCTGGGATTAATGAGAAGCCTCCTAAAATCCAAGTCCCCGACCAAGAGGCAACTTATAAGCAAGAAAGAATAGAAGTCAGGCCTGTTATGTTAATGATTTCCTGCATATATCATTTTGTCTTAGCTCACCTTTAACTCAAAACTCAGGATTTCATAAATTAAGTTTTTATATTATATATTTTCTGAAATATAAAAATGCCTTTTTAAAAACTATGTTTTTAATGTTGACCCCATAGGAAATATGGCCATTGTTTCTTAAAAGATTGATAATAAAGTACTAGTTTGATACCATGGACCAAGCTGGTCCAATATTGACTGAACAAATACTATGTTCCTGCCACTGTTTTATGTGAATTAAGGTTTTTCGGATGTCTTAGAAAGTGCCTGGAAGCCTGATAGTTCACACTGTCTTTCGTTTGTGCTTTGGGGTCCTAGTTTTGTACCATATTAGTGATAGGGCCGAGTGCATAAGCTTTCTCCTGAATTTATAAGGGAACATTTTTGTTTTACAAAAATCCCTACAGAAGACCATTTTTCAGAAATGTGGCAGTGATTCAGTCAGTCAGACAAGCAGAGAGAGATCTGAAGATGAAAATGTTCATAGAGGTGGCCTAAGGTCTTGTGCTGAGAGGGGCTGGTCGTGTTAATGGAGGGTGATCAATACCAGTTCTTATCTCTTCCCTTTAAAGTTTTCTTTGGTAATATTTGGTAAATATTTCTCAAGAGTACTCTGGAAGAACAATTGGCTTAATGGAAAATAATGGTAGCAACCTTAAAAATAACAGCTTTTGACCCCATCACTTGGGATAACTTGTTCAGTGCCACTTCCTTCACTGTGGATTTCTCTTGGCTGGGCACTGGGTAAACACCCATTATCAAAGACCAAATAAAGCCACTTGATAAGGGTGTGGTTAGGCCACACAACAGACATCAGACAAAGACAAGTGGGGGATTTATTGCATCTCTGCATTTAGCATGAATGAATGTTTTGGTAATAGAGTTGTCATTTGTCTACCTAATAAATATTAATTACTTGTTTTTGTTTGCTTGTTTTAGTTTTTGGCAAGACACCGTACTTGGTGCTTGGGTATGTATTTAGCAGTGAATTAGGCTTAGATCTTATCCTTGAGAAGGAATGAAACACAGAGCTGAAAAATGTAAGATTTATGAAAGACGTTGTCAGTGAAGTGCCTTGATGGTTCAGACAGTGGAGCATTTCACAGAGCATGGGGGGCGGGGAGATTCAAATGATGCTTGCATTCATTTATTTAGCATATAACTCACTGCCATTGAGTCAATTCCAGCTCACAGTGACCCGCGCTATAGAACAGGTTAGAGCTGCCCCAAGGCTGTAAATCTTTGCAGAAGCAGACTGCCACATCTTTGTACTGTGGAGCAGCTGGTGGGTTCAGACTGCCAACGTTTTGGTTAGCAGTCAAATGCTTTACCCACTGGGCCACCAGAGCTCCTTCATTCAGCATAGAGTTCATATTTATACACTTTACACTACCTACTGCATGAGGGACTTGATAAAACAGTGAGCTGAAAATTCAGAGTTCTTGCAAAGTTGTCTTAAATTGTAATGAAGAGAGACAGGCAGGAAATAAAGAATGAAATAAGTGCTGTGAATAAAACAGGGTACATTGGTTTTTTAAATTTTGCTTGATTTTCAGGTGGTTTTTCACTATCCAGTACTAGTAACCTCCAGAAATTATTTGAAGGCTTATTTTTAAATGTTTTTCCTCCCTTGTCTTTACAGCATATATAAAAGGTGGGTGGATCCTCAGGAAAGCCTGGAAGATTTACAATAAATGTTATCTGGACATCAATGCCCTTCAGGAGCTGTATCAGAAGAAGCTAACTGAAGAGCCCTTAACTTCTGATGCTGCAAATGATAATCACATTGTGGCTGAAGGGGTGTCTGAGGAGTCTCTAAACAGACTGAAAGGTGCTGTTAGCTTTGGATATGGCCTTTTTCACCTTTGCATATCCATGGTGCCCCCAAACCTGCTCAAAATCATCAACCTGCTGGGTTTTCCTGGAGACCGCCTACAGGGGCTTTCTTCACTGATGTATGCAAGCGAAAGTAAGGACATGAAGGCCCCTTTAGCTACGTGAGTAGCTATATTGCAATGCTTTGGTAGATAATATAGTGTTGAAAGTAAGTAAACTTCAATCAAAAACTTTAAAGGAAACTGCAGGTAAAATGTTTGGCTGTTTAATATGACTCCATGCCTTGTGTCTTTTAATGAAATACTGAAGACTGTGCTTGGTGGTAGTGGTGCTGACTTTAGAGAACAGGGCACTCACACACAGTCATTGATCATCTTACATCATTTGAGTCCTGTGACCATACCTTTCATCCTCAAATGATTTTTAAGCAGTTTTGTGACTTTCAACACAGTGAATGAGATTTATAATCTTGATTTTGGGATACTAATTTTTAATACTTGATTCTTGAGTTTTTATTCCAGAAATTACCTCATATTGGGTAACTTCCTTTGTGATACTTCTGTTGGGTCAATTGTTCTCTTGTATGTGGCTGGGATATTTGTGTTTTTCAGCGAAATTGAATCATGCTGCTTTGCTTAGTCTAAACTTAAATGGTTAAATATGTAAACAGGACGGTGTGAGGAAGCTGATATGTAACTACCCAGAGCCAAAAGTTGCCCATTTGTGTATCACTTATCGATGATGTGGTTTTTGTTCAACCTGGCAAATATTTGCAATCTGCAATTTAAGTATTTTACCAAACAGCAGATGTCTTTTGTCTGACATCATACCACTTATCCATTTTTTTTTAATGTTGATATCATAGAAGAACTTCATGACTTCTGTGTCTACTAATGTCAGTACTGAGGAATTTGAATTTTAACTCGTAATGAGTTGATAGCTATTAACTATATTATTAATTTTTTATTTAAAAAATATCCGTACCTTCCCAAACTCATTTAATTACACAGTTGCCCTTTATTAAGTTGACTACATAGATTTGTAATTTATGATAAATTATCTCAGTGTTTATCTTCCTATTATTTTTGCTTATCTCTGAGAAAGGAGTGAACTGACTTAGTAATATAAATTGGTATGATCACCTCAAGAGAACCAAATTCATGAGCACACTAGAAGTACATATTTGCATAAAAATGTTTAATGTGTTGGTTAAACCTTTTTGTTTATTCATTAAAGCAAGTACCAGTGAATCTGTTCTATTTATCTAGTATAAAATGGCATTTTTTCTTGAAAGTAATGAATTAAGAAAATTTAAACTAATTTATTTATTTGTTAGCTTTTAAATTGCATATCCTCAAAAGGGCTTTTTATTTGGTCCTCTCATTTATTTTAACCCAACTTTATATAATTTGTGTCAGTGGTCCCTATGTTTAAATTTGGATTTTGAAGCTTATATCTTAACTTTTGTGAAACCAAACTCGCTGCCGTTGAGTCAGGTCTGACTCATAGCGACCCCTCCCTGGGTTTCCGAGATGGTATCACTATGGAAGTACATTGCCCAACCTTCCTTCCAAGGAGTGGCTGGTGGGTTTGAACCACCAGCCTTCTGGTTAGCAGTCAAATGCTTTAGGCATTATGCCACCAGAGCTCCTAACTTTTGTGAACCCAAGAAAAACAGTATTTTTTTTTCTTTTATAAAAAAGTAATGCTTTTATTTTGAGGGGATGATATATTTATGATGAACAACTACTGTTTTCTAATTTGTGCATTGATGAATAAGATGTAGAATTGAGAGGTTTACATCACTCATGTGTTCGTGATCCACACAGCAGGCTCAGAAAAGCCAACTGCTTCTTTTGCCCTAGTCTCCTCTCACCAAATGGAAGGAAGTGTGTTGATTTAGACATTGTGCTAAAGTTGCAGTCTTCTGTATATTGATAACGTTAACATGGGAGGGATACTCTGATTTTACTTCTTCAAAGACTACATAGTAAGCTTTTTGGAAGGCGTGTATGTTGGAAGAGCACATACTGATTTTAAGAAATAAGAAAAACGATTTGCTCAATGTTTCTTTCCCTCTTCCTTTAGATTAGCTCTTCTCTGGTATCACACTGTCGTCCGCCCTTTTTTTGCCTTGGATGGCAGTGACAACAGAGCAGGTCTGGATGAAGCTAAGGAAATTCTTCTCAAAAAAGAAGCTGCTTATCCAAACTCTTCTCTCTTTATGTTTTTCAAGGGACGAATACAACGATTAGAGGTACTGTGCCTTCCCTGTCTTTTTCAAATAAAAATGTAGATTGATGATCAAATCTGTAATTCTCACTCGAGAGCTGCTGTCAAAATAAGCCAGACTGTCGTTGGGCAGAGGAACGTTTTGTTCCTTTGCCTCTCATAGCATCATTGCTACAGAAGCTTCCCAAAACTCATGTTGTTAATCCATTACCTTCTTCTGTTCAGGAGCCATGAGTGGAATAGGGTGACATTCCTCCTTGTTAATGAGACAGGATTGATGTTCTCTAAGCGTAAGGAATAGGGGCATCATTAATGCTCTTGGTCAAAGAATCTAGAAAACATTTCTTTTCCCTCTTCAGTTGCTAATAATTGATTTTAAATGTTGATCTTAGGTTATAATTTATATAAAAATTACTGCCTTAATGTCAGGGCAGCATCAGCTTTAATTTTTTTATTTTATTTTATTTTTAATTTTATTTGATTTGGGTGAAGATTTACAGAGCAAATTCACTTTCCATACAACAGTTCACATATACTTTGTCTCATGTCATTGACCACAGTTTACCACAATGCAACAACTCCCCTCCCACTTCCTCCCCATAGTTACCTCTTCCCAGTGGCCATCCCTCCATGCTGTCCTGCCCCCTGAGCTGTCTCCCTGTGCATAAGCAGCCCTTCCTTCTCCCATGATTGTTCTCTCCAGGGCGTGTGTCTACTTGAGGTAAATGTTTAACTCACATGCCTGTACTTAGTTTGGCTGGAAACCACAGGTGTGGGTTCAATTCCAGACCTGAATGGCAGCTATCGGCCATAGTCTCAGTGGTTCCACCAGGCTCTATTGGACCAGCAAACCTGGTCCCCACCTTTTTTTTTTTTTTTTTGCCTCCACATGATTTTTTGTTCCACATTGTTCTCCCTCTCTATGCAGGATCTCCTACATCCCTTCCAAGTGGATGACAGTGGTAGCTGGGCACCATCTAGTTCTTCTGGTCTCATAGTTGTACAGGTTGCAGATCAGATGGTGTACCAGTCGCTAGGACTGATTGTTTCCATTAATTTTGGTTTTCTTCTTTCTTCTTGACGAGGAGAGACCTGTTGTTGCATCTAGATGGCAGCTTCCTAGCTTTTAAGGTCCCAGTCGCTACTCGCCAAAGTAGTAGGTGGAACAATGTTTTGTATAGTATGTTATGCCAATTGAGCTTGATGTCCCCTGTGACTATGGTCCCAAGCCCACAGGTTCAACTACTTGGTCCCTCTGGGTAGCTGGCTGTGACCAAGCAGTGAGCACAACCTTGCCCCTTGTCAGCTCTACTATACACCTGGGAATTCTGATCATTCACATAAACTTATAGGACCATTGTCTGCCAACCCTATATATGATCTTGGATACACTCCCCATTTCATAGACATAGCTAATCATTTAGCTTGTCCACCTATCTATCCATCCATATACCCCTGTTTGCCTTCACTTACAACTCAGTACTGTATATGCAAAAGGGTTCATATTTGTTGTCTGTACTTCCCATGTACCTCTCTATGTCTTCTCATCCTCAATGCTGCCATATTGGTCACTCACATTTGGTACATTGCCCTTCTCTTCACCCAAATCAATATTTATCTCTATCTAACAGCATTCCCTCCTCTCCACTCCCACCCCTGGTAACCAACAAAGAACATTTCCTTCAATAGATAAACCTTTCCTTAACTTTTACAATAACGGACTAATACAATATTTGTCCTTTTGTGACTGACTTATTTCACTCAGCATAATGTCCTCCAAGTTATCCACGTTATGCGGTGTTTTGCAGCTTCTACATTATTCTTTAGCATTGCATAGTATTCCATTGTGTGTATGTACCATAATTTGGTTATCCATTCCTCAGTTGATGGACATCTAGGTTGTTTCCATGTTTTGGCTATTGTAAATAGCAGCATCAGCTTTTAAATAATAATAGTTTTGATTACTTTTTCCTGTGTTTAATTGACAAGTACTATGGCTAAGAGCTTTACACGCATTATCTAATTTAATCCTCGGAACACTCCTGTGATACAGGCATAAAGTTATCACCTGCATTTTATAGAAGAGAAAAGAGGGGCTCAGAGAGAGGTTCAATGGCCTTCCCTGGCCCAGGCTGCCTCACTTCAGATCAGAATGTTGTCTGGCCTGTGGAGGGGCTCCCCTTCCCCTTTGCACCTCATTTTCATCTGCTTGTTGAGAACATGAGGGTTTGGAGAAACATGCACATATTATAAGAAGAAAATTATATATGAAAAGTGACTGTCATGCTGGATGTACCAGCTATATTCTTACCGGTAGCTATTAGTGAATCAGTTTGAAGTTTTAGCGTTAGCATCTACCCTCCAGTTACCCATGCACTGTGCCACACAGTCAGTGCTAGAGGTCAGCTCCCAGCAAGCCCCATATGTACCTTTGAAGACTTTTGCCCGGGAAAGCTTTCATGAGTACAGGAATGATTTGTTCACAAATTGTTTTGTTGGCAACGGGTTGTATATTACTTCCCCAATCATTTTATTCCTTCACGCATTAAGACTCCTGAAACTTGAATATGACTCCTAAATCTGAAGACTCCACAGAGCAGTTCTCTAAGCCCTTCATATATGCAAGTTGCATTTTAGAGATTATACCAGCAGTTTGTAATTGCAGCACAGTACAGAAATCTCACCAGCATCTGAATTATTTAAACCCAGCCTGATTCCTTTTTCTTCTTGTTATCTTAAAATGTTTTCTTTGCATTGAGGCTCATGAACCTTTTTTTTCTGTTGTGATTTAAAAACATAGTTCTCTGATCCATCTCTCATGTAGTAGAGTCTGTCTGTCAGTGTTCTTTCCTTTTGAAATCAGCACTGGGTCCCTACTTGTAGGAGAGTATGTTCAGACTGTTAAAGTTTATCTGTTCCCTTGGGTTTGTGCAGGAGGAAACAGCATGGGGAAAGAAGTCTTCCATTGACCAAGCCTTCTCACTTCTGTAGGAGCTCTGGTAGTATAGCGGTTAAAGCATTCAGCTACTAACCAAAAAGTCGGCAGTTTGAACCCACCAACTGCTCCACAGGAGAAAGATGAGGCAGTGCACTTCTGAATGATTAACAGCCTTAGAAACCCTATGGAGCAGTTCTTCTCTGTCCTGTAGGGTTGCTATGCGTTGGAATTGACTCAGTGGCAGTGGATCTCATTTTTGTGACCATGTATGTAATGAAATTTGCAAAGAGGATAAGTGCTTTCTTAGATTTAAATTTCTCAAAGGGCACATCTTATACATTTGGAATAGCTGTGAATATGATGTTACTAGATTCTGTGTTCAACAGGGATTTGCTGGCCGGGAGTGAGAGCCTGTGATATAAAATTGTGGCAACTCAGTAATGAGGCACCCTAGCACTAGGCATTCATTAGAGTTCTCTCCCTTTAGTCACTGATGACTGAATGCTCTAAATTGGGTTCTGAAGCTGCTAAACGGACATGTGAAAACAAGTCAGGGCTTATATTTTGTTATGCTTTGCATTTCAGTTAATTTTTTATTTGAAAATGGAAACGTTTAACTTTTGGTTAAAGTAATAACTTCTGTTTTTAGAAACTTAATTTGGCATGGTTTTGGTTTGTGCCACAATTCATGCTCATTAGGGACTGAGTGAATGCTGAAAGCAAATGGTCATTAGTTGTTGTTGGGATGATTCTAAAATGAAAAAGCCACAGCTCCCTCAGAGGATTCTTATAGGAGTGGTTGGTTGAGTCACCAAGTGAACATGCTAAAGAGGACATCCGTGGCTCAGTAACAGAATTCTCCCTTTCCTTGTGGGAGACGCAGTTCGATTCCTGGCCAGTGCACCTCAGGCACACCCACCACCCGTCTGTCACTTGGAGTTCGTGTGTCGCTATGATGCTGGACAGGCTTTCGCAGACTTCCAGACTAAGTCAGACTAGGAAGAAAGGGCTGGCTATCTATGTCCAAAAATCAGCCAGTGAAAGAAAACCCTAGGGATCACAGTGGTTCTATTGGGCCCATCACAGGGCTCAGGCAGTGTTTTGTTCCATTGTACCTGGGGTCACCAGGAGTTGGGCTGGCTCAATGGCAGCTGACAGCAGTCACCATTATAGCTGTTAGCAAGGTGTTCAGTCCCTTTTCAGGTAGAGTTGTGAGAGGAGTGCAGGGGGTAGATGTTAGAATGCCTTCATGGTGAAGTAGCATGCTTACTTAGCTGGTATCGGATTTGAAGAGAAAGAAAACAAGACCTGTGAGTGTGCTCATTTAGTGGGCTGTAGTCTAGGGGCTGAGAAAAATGTGACAAATGTTTCCGTTTGACTCTTCTCAAAGCCCCAGAAGATGAAGGGATATTAGACTAACTTGAAATATGGTTGGAATTATCCTCAAGTACCCAGACACCAGAGTTTCATAAATCTTCCCAAGCAAGTGTGTAGGATGGTACCAGATAGTAGCACCCTTCATTTGCAGATGAGGAACGCTGCCCAGAGAGGCTGTGATAGGGCTCTTGACAAAGGTGTTTTCTAAGGCCTCTAAAGCTCCAATTCAGTTTCTGGAAACACATGTGGCTCAAGGCAATGGATGAATTTGCTTGCAAAGAATCTTCTGTCTTTTCAGTGAGCATTTAGGTTAGAGACGGGGCCCCCTGAGGTCATTTTTATTAAAAACAAAACAACAACAAAAAAAACCAGAACCTGGTCTAGGGGCCCTAATTTAGCAGAAGCATCATGTAATGCATGGTTAGTTTCCTTTGTGACTCAGAATCTGCAAAATTATGTGAACAGCTGCCTTTATGTCAACTTGCTGTCACACAGGGTGACCGGCTCAATGTGTGCTGATCGGTTTTAATTTTCCTGCACTTTTCTTTCTTCTTCTTTTTTGTCCATCCCACAGATCAACACTTGTACTGGGTACGTCACCTCTAGTCGTCAGGCTATGTGGCCAAGGGGGCAGAACACAGCAGATTTTTAAAATACCCATTTCTGTGAAGTGTGTTGGTCCTCATTATTCACAGATTCCATTTTGTGAA